GGGTTATCAGGACAATGTAATAATTTCATGGCAGCATTTTTGTATTCGTGTCGAATTGCGAAATTCATCGAGAGTTCATCTACTCATCTGTTTTTCCAGAGGCATTCGGTATCCTTAAGCTCCGTTACTTCACGGCAGTAATATTTCGCTGATGCTGTGCCTTGAATAAATTCCAGTGCGACACCGTTTGAGACAGAATTTGAAGGTGCATAATACCAAACAACCCAAAAGTGACTGGCTTCAAAAATGATGCCTATCGGCGGAGCACCAGCAGTTGAGCTAGTTCTAACATCCATGCTATTTGCAATGCGGATATGAGAAGAGATGCCTAATAAGCGGACTCTGCCATGCAGCATGGCATGGGGTCAAATTGCAGATTGAAAGTCAGTTGGCTGGAGTATATTGAGCGCCTACCACTGTCGCTCCTCTAAGCCCAATCCTTGGACATTACCCAAGTGGCACAGTGCCGGACCATGAGTGAAGCCTCTTCAGGCTGCTACTCCTAGTACCCGGAAAGTTTAGATGGCTGCGGAGGCAGACGAATGGCTGAAATCGTCTGTTTTTAATGCCAATTGACAGAGAGCGAAAGTGGAATAGGTTATTATTTAAAAATTGCTTCGCTCTTCATATATTTTTAAGAGTTTCCTAGCCAACGCGACATGGCTTCATTTCATACTTCAAATATCGACACTGAATCTGTGTGAACTTTAACCAGTATGTCCAAAATCTGGCCTGAATCCGGTTTCACTTCTCGCTATCTAAGAGTTCAAGTGAAAAGTGTTAGCAATAGGTATTTTTTATTGCTCGCTAAATCTGCGGTTTAATTCGTGACAGAAATCTTCTCATCGGTTGTGAGAGCAAAACTACAAGAAGCCACGTTGAAACGTTTAATTTTATGCAGAAATCAAGTTTCACATGAGTAACGTCTTCTCTATAACTGTGACAACGTGTCGTAGTGTTTTGCTTAGTCCCGACGATAGGACGAGTTCGCGTAATTTAGCATGTGACCGGTCTTCTCTCGTGCGCAACAGACCTCATCCAGCGATTGTTATTTGTTAGTACATACGTTCTAGTGTACTTCGGTGCAGCCGTATCTGCACAACGTAGGGATAAATCAAGCTAATTTGCATATCGCCAATTATCCGCCATCTTTTCAGGGAGGCGATGATTATCGCCACGCGATGAGCCGAGTTTCGGAAAGGGGATGACAGTTTTGCTGTGCGGTGGAGTGCGGTCAGTAGTGTTGTGCAGGCAGTACGTGGACATAATTGTCGTTCGTTATGCAGACACTCTTGTTGCTGGTGCTGTCATGCAGCTTGGTAGCTGTCGGCTCATCGACGAGCAGTTCAGGCGATAAGACTGAGGAGCTGAGGGCACGAACGAGTCAACGAAAGAAAAGGCATTTCTGGTCGCCCGAGAGTAACGACGAAAGTTATGAACAGGGCCAGGTGTTCCATCAAGAGTTCAGGGACCAGCGGATAGTAGGGCCGTCTGCATTCAAAACAGTACATGCCGCAACAGGAAAATTCTACGAACCTCCGCCTCCCCAAAATGGGATCGGTCAACTGCAATCGTCTGGCAGAAGTGAGCATTCTCCGGAATTCAGTCATCATAGCGGTAAGTCGCGGAAGGTGTTTTTTGGAGATCATGTACAGAAGTAAAGCTTTTAGGCACCACTCCGATGTTTGTTCACCACGACGAGCATTGGGAAGGCGAGTCATTTCTCCAACCATGGGCCTCGGCCTCGACGAATGGTCGCTCGGAAAGCTACGATGTTCTTGATGAAAGTCAACGTCAGAAACTCGACTTAGACGACGTCACGCCTAACTACGAGTCAAACGTCTGGTATTCCAGTAATCAGCGGCTGATGGCAGTTCCTCAATCGAACATCAAACAAAATTTTCCGAACGAATTCGCAAAAGCCGCTACTCATGATAACACAGTACAGTACTCGTCTACGAGTATCAGGGACGATCAGCGGCGACAGCGTAACGAATCCCCTTCATCCCATCGTAACGTACATCTGTCAGCGGCTTACGAACTAACATTCGAGAGGCAACCAATGACCGTTTATAGCGAGGAACATTTCCTCCCGGAGGACAACGACATTTATGTGCCACTGTGCAACCGCCACGACAAGGGCTGGCCGGGCTCTTGCATAAACAACACAGAGTTGGGAAAAGACTCAGCGAAACAAGGTTTGAATTTCTTTGTCGATACTTTCCTTAGCAAAAATTCAGAATTTATGTATATGGCTTTAAAGTTGGAATATCATTGCCTACTGATTGATGCCTTGTCAACTAGGCTGGCATAAATATTGTTATTTGTTGTTCATCAGTAACGGAAAATTGTTGTCCTTATTGGGAGTTGGGTCTCTTCCGTTGATAATCTGGCATTTTTGACGGACAACGACTTTCCAAAACATAAAACACACGTGGCCAGACACGCTGACGCAACAAATATTTTTGTTTTTATTCGGCAGCCTATAAGCAGTATCTCAAATACATCGTTTGTGATGAATGTGAGATGACTGCAACCGACGTAACGATGCGAAATACGCCTGCCACCGCAGCTACCTCAATACCGTGGAACAGTGGCCTGCTTAAATGTCCCCCTCCCCAATCCCCGCTTAGGTAGCTGTGAACAAGGAGCGATGCAATACGACGTAAAGTGTGGTCTTGGCGCTTTTGTCCGCTATAAAGCACACTCCGGCGTACGATAGTAGTTAGATGTTTATGCGAAAAATGCTGAATAATCCAAGTGTAAGGTCTGCTATTAACCTAAAATATTGGGCTGTTTAAATTGAGCTCATTTTGACTTATCCTCTCAGCTTCTTGACTCAGTTCTTCGTAAAATATATGAAGTACATAATACAAAAATACATAAGGGTTTCATTCCACACCGATTCTGATGTAGCTGCACCCATATGAAAAAGTGAAAGGTTGTGATCTCTCAGGCGGCTCGAACTCTGCGGGAAGGACAACGGAAAAATGTGAGTCAGATCGAAGTATCTTGTCCCGTTGATAATAATATTTGGATTTTGGTCATTAACGTATTAAGATTATACGAATCCTTAAAAACACCAAGTTTTCGGATCAACTGGCTTCATTATCTTCACCGGCAATTTTCGATCCTCTGCCAGATTAAGATAACTCAAAAATTTTGCCACAAATTCTGCCTTCTGTGATTTTTATTCACGTTGCTCTAACAACTAATTCATTGGGCTCCTCCTTTCATCGATATGCAAATTTGCACGGGCCGTTTACTCCCTGTTGGAAAGCAATCTAATATTTCTTTCGTACGGTAATGTCTTGTTGTTCTAGCAATAGGTACTGCTCATTGCCATCTCAAATTCTTCACTCATGCGGTGGCATCGCAGACTACGCTTGTGCTTTCGCCCATTTGTTCGCCGTCCTATTTCATCTATTTATTCCTCATATACGCCATTCGATGCTGCTCTCCGTAATCCGCAATTTATGAGTAATTTGGATGCTTAGGGCTTGTGTTTTGTAATCATAGGTTAACACTGAGGGCATGCACTATCCAAAGCTTTCCGCTTCCAGCACAAGAACAGCTTTACATATAGGAATATTTCGAATCTTCCAGGAAGTCACTTGTCATCATTACTTTTCCGCTGATGTCCCAGAGTTGGTTCACCGTTTCAGAGATGAGCTGCCTCATAGAAACCTAGTCCTATGGTCTTCAAGCCTAAGACCATGCACGTAAACGTGTCACGTTGTCACATATTTTTAAACATGACCGGAGTCTTCTTCAAGTTTGTGTTCAGTTCTGCGTTGATGTTGACTTCGTTCAACACTTTGAATCCACTTTGGTATTTTTCTGATGACGTAGACAAGATCAGAATATCGTGAACAAACCGAAAACAGTAATGAGCAGATAAGCGTTGCCTGTATATCTCCAGCTCCTCCCTTTTCTGTTATTGTGTCTTGAAAATCTCTTATGTGGTTACAGACTGCTATGAATAACTACGACATCGTTTACATCAGTACAACAGACGTATTTTTCGATTTTGAATTTATTGGCATTTTTGCTAAGCTTAATAGTAGCCGCTGAATTCTTGCAGATTACGGTGACGAAGCATCTGTATCTTTCTTCGGTTCTCTTGCCCATCATAGTGTCAAATACAGAGCGAGTGTAGACTAGTTGAAATTCTAATCAATGATTGTACTCCTGTGTAAGTTTGCTCTAAAGTTGACGAGTTCCAGTTTTACACTCTGTTCTCGCTAGTAAGCGTTTTGACTATGGCTAGCTGTCTATCATCAATAAGGTGATAGCTTTTGTCATGCGAGGTAAAATCGTGTTTTGTAATATTTTTTCAACGGTATTTTCTGCTAAGGCTAAATAAATTAATCATTTGAATTGGGTTCATACATTAATATTAGATACAGATCAGCAATAAATACCGAACTGTACTTTGCGGTGAGTTTAGTGAGTGACATCATGTGCAAAGTAAAGAAGGTCTGACCTTGTTTATCCCCATTCATCACAAACTCACTTTACGCATTAGTACACCTATTAATTGGTTTGCTGATTAGCTTCTACTACATTCATCGCCCGTTAAGCTGTCATGCGCGTTGAAGGCATTCACGATCATCTTAGTGGGCCTGACAAGTTCAGTCATGAACAACCACAACAACAGATCAATTAAAAAAATTACATCGAATGTATTTATTGCTAGTTATTTGGGAAACTTATGACTAAGTGTAAATTCCTATCGCATATTCAGGGAATCGCTTTCTAGATATCGGTTCGAAGAGAGCCAGTGACGCAATAAAGACGGCCGCAAAGGTCATCGGTTATCACTTGGCGTTTCAGCAATACTCTGGCTATTTTCATGGAAGCAGCTTTGAAATAAGACCGGTTCTCTCCAAAACCATAAGCACGTCGTTTCTGTCGCAACGGAAAGGTGAAGGTACTGAATATAACGTGAAATACAGAAAGACGAGCTGAAAATATAAAGCCGTAGTCGTCCAGGTCTGGGTAAGGCGAACTGACGAGTGTGCGACATGTCACATTATTTGTTTCTCCTTTGTGTTCGATTTCGCTCGATATTAAACTTAGCAATGCAAACGGATGACTGTGATTCACGCAGAAACGAATGAAATAAATTTCTGACTCCAAAACAGCAGCTTTCAAGGGATCCAAGCATTGGATTTCGATTAAAATTTATAAATATTAATTGTATGAACGTGTGCAATTTTTTGGGGGTCTGCCTACCCCCTTGTTTATTTAAACAGCTATTTCCTTTAATTATTTGAATAGTTTAATCAAGATTCAGGCGGTGTGCAAAATCTGCTGAATCCTGTGTAAGATTCGCAATGACATTGCAACTCAAGGTGGTTAGCCACATGTGGGTAGGTCAGTCCTGGTGCATTTATCTTCCATTTTCTTGAATGACTTGCCTT